CTGCTGGCGCTGGGTGAAGATAACGGCTCCGTCCTAATGAGACAATCAGTAAATCCTGTTTTAGAGATACGTTTTCAAGACAGGACAACGTGCCGGCGTTTTCTTACTCTACAAATACGTGCTTTTTTGTGTTTTTTTCCTTCTCTTTTTCTTCTGCTCACAGTGAAAAACAAACCCTGATGGCTTCTGCACCTGCCTCGCAGCCTTCTCCCAAAAAAACGGTGGCTTCTCACGTGCCTTTTGCAGATCTGTGTTCTACGCTGGAGCGAATACAGATGTGTAAATCTCGTCCAGAGAAAACCAAATATTTCAAGGATTTCCTGGATTCCTGGAGAAAATTCCATGATGCTCTTCATCGCAAAGAGTCAAATGTCACTGATTCTTTTTATCCAGCTATGAGGCTTATTCTTCCACAGTTGGAAAGAGAAAGGATGGCATATGGAATTAAAGAAACTATGCTTGCGAAGCTGTATATTGAACTGCTTAATTTGCCAAAAGATGGAAAAGATGCTGCAAAGCTTTTAAATTACAGAACACCTACTGGCTCACGTGCAGATACAGGAGATTTTGCAATGATTGCATACTTTGTGTTAAAACCTAGAAGCCCAAAACAAGGCAGACTGACAATAGAGCAAGTCAATGAACACTTAGATGCAATAGCTAATAATAATGCTGCTAAAAACAAGGGTCTGTTAAAGAAAAGTCTTCTTCAGTTAATTACCCAGAGCACAGCACTGGAACAAAAATGGCTCATCCGGATGATCATAAAGGATCTAAAGCTTGGTGTTAGTCAGCAAACTATATTTTCCATTTTTCATCCTGATGCTGTTGAACTGCACAACGTCACCACTGATTTGGAAAAAGTTTGCAGACAACTGCATGATCCCGCCGTCTCACTTAGCGATGTTTCTATCACGTTGTTTTCTGCCTTTAAACCAATGCTTGCTGCCATTGCTGATGTCCAGCAAATTGAGAAACAAATGAATAACCATATATTCTACATAGAAACTAAACTGGATGGTGAACGTATGCAGATGCACAAAGATGGAGATGTGTATAAATATTTTTCCCGAAATGGGTTTGACTATACACAGCAGTTTGGTGCTTCCCCCCTTGATGGTTCATTAACGCCATTTATTCATACTGTATTTAAGAGTAATATACAAAATTGCATTCTCGATGGTGAAATGATGGCTTACAATCCTGAGACACAAACTTTTATGCAAAAAGGGAACAGATTTGACATCAAAAGAATGGTGGAGGACTCTGATCTGCAGACGTGCTTCTGCGTGTTTGATGTGTTGATGGTTAACAACCAGAAGCTGGGTCACGAAGTACTAAGCAGAAGATATGACATCTTAAGTAGTGTATTTACTCCGGTGACAGGCAGGATACATGTTGTACAGAAAAAAAGTGCCAGTTCGAGAAAAGAAGTAATTGATGCTTTAAATGAAGCAATAGATAACAGAGAGGAAGGGATTATGGTGAAAGATCCCATGTCCACCTACAAGCCTGACAAACGTGGGGAAGGCTGGTTAAAAATCAAGCCAGAATACGTCAGTGGGCTGATGGATGAACTAGACCTTTTAATTGTTGGTGGTTACTGGGGAAAGGGCTCACGTGGTGGAATGATGTCTCATTTCCTTTGTGCTGTTGCAGAGACCCCCCATCCAAATGAAAAGCCTACTGTTTTCCACTCCATTTGTCGTGTTGGCTCTGGCTATACTATGAAGGAATTGTATGATTTAGGTTTGAAACTGGCTAAACACTGGAAGCCTTATCATAGGAAGGACCCTCCCTGTAACATTTTGTGTGGAACTGAAAAACCTGAAATGTACATTGAACCTTGCAACTCTGTCATAGTTCAGATTAAGGCAGCTGAGATTGTGAACAGTGATATGTACAAAACTGACTGTACTTTGAGATTTCCCCGAATTGAGAAGATAAGGGAAGACAAAGAATGGTACGAGTGCATGACTTTAGACATGTTAGAAGATCTCAGAAGCAAAGCAGAAGGGAAGCTGGCATCTAAGCACCTTCATATAGATGAGTATGATGAGCCACAAGAGAAAAAGAGGAAAACTGTATCAAAGGTGAAGAAGATAATTGGAATAGCTGAGCAATTTAAAGCTCCTGATCTTTCTAATGTAAGCAAGGTTTCAAGTATATTTGAAGATGTTGAGTTCTGTGTTGTGACAGGAACATCAAAACACTCCAAGTCTGAACTGGAAAGCAGAATAGCTGAATGTGGTGGCAGCATCGTGCAGAATCCGGGGCCGGAGACATACTGCGTCATTGTAGGAGCTGAGAATGTCAGAGTGAAGAACATCATTGCTTCCAACAAATATGATGTGGTGAGGGCAGAGTGGCTCCTTCAGTGTTTTCAAACCAAAATGCTGGTGCCGTGGCAACCAGCCTTTATGGTTCACATGTCTCCTGACACAAAAGAACATTTTGCTCGTGAATATGATTGTTATGGAGACAGCTACACAGCAGATGCAGATATTGCACAACTCAAGGAAGTGTTCTCAAGAATAAAAGACCTTCAAGTGATGCCTTTGGACATGATTGCAGAGTTAGAAGAACGCTATTCATGGAACAGTTGTCAGCTCAGTATATTCAGAGGTAACACTGTTTATGTGGACTGTTACGCTGTTCTTAATGACCCCATGACCAAAATCCATGGAACAACACTATCAATTAGAGCTTTGGAGCTCCGTTTTTATGGTGCAAAAGTAGTCCCTCACCTT